GTAATTTCAAAATCTTAATAAAGCACTAGCGTGACTGCTTAAGGGAAAAAAAAAAAAAAAAAAAAAAAAAAAAAAATTTAACTTTTAAAAATAACGTTATTAATTACCTTTTTCCAATTTGTTAATTGCTAACTTTGACAAAAAGTAATAATAAACCCAATTATCTTTGTTTTTAAGTAAGCTTTTTGTTTTTATAATTATTTTGTAATTATTTTGCACGGTGAAAGAACAGAAGGAACCGTTAATGCTACACCCATCACACTTGAAGTTACATATAAATAATTTCAGTTTAACTGATCACCCCGTGTGAACGACGAGCGAGGAATTATATCCATAACACACATTTTAGAGTAAACTCAAAATAAATAATTTTATTATTGATTAACTACATCGTGTGAAAGATTAATGTGTAACATTGACGGTTTATCTTGTTCAGTGAAAAGCTTCTAAAACTAATTATGAAAAAAAAATTTTTCATAGATAAAATAATGAAACGTTGCAGTTCAAAAAAGTACTTTAAACTGTATAAATTACTTACCCGGCCAATTGGTTTACATTAGCCAATCAGACGTTTGTCCTTCTATGAATATACAGTAGAATCTCATGTTTAGATCAAAATCTAATCACAGGATCTTATCATTCCATTGAATCTTATCGTTATCAAACCAATAGCTTTTTTAAGTTCATTCCACCTGTCAAAATTTTCATAAATTCGGGAAAATAAATAATATTCTAATTTCACTCGACGCCGAACTCCGCAATTTGTCGCTTCGGTCATCAGTAGAGATGGGCAAAGTAAGTTAACATATTATTACTTATTATTTTTAAATATTTCCGACAATTTTTTGCGTAATAAATAATAATAAGTAAAGATGCAAAATTCAATCCGAACAACAAAATTATTGAGTTTAAAATTTTACTCTCCAGATTACATTTGAAAATTGTAATAAGTAATAATCATGCATCATAAACAATCATTGGTAATAATACGTAAGTTTAAGTACTGGGTAAAAAAATAAGTAATTATTACTTACATTATTACCTTGCCCATCTCTAGTCATCAGAAATTTTTTTTAAAACAGCAAACCAAATAATTAACTTTGTACAGCATTTCCGAAATCTGTGACAGGTTAGCTGATAACGTGATGTCTATTTAGGACCGTCGGTCAATTTTATTAAGAAATTTAAATATCGATATCTATGCATATTATAACATTAATTTATCGCTACAAGTAAATAATACTGAAATATTCGAATTTCTACTGTAATGTCTAATATATGCTATATAATGATTGAACTTTTTTTACACAGTTTTTTTTCACGCAGTTTAGCAAATTACTTGACCTAGTTTTTTTTAACCATTACATTTATACATTAGTTGGTTCTGTCTTCCATATCTTTTGTATATTTCAAATTCAAATAATTAATAAATTCTCGTGGATGTTAAATTAACTTCTATTGGTCGGGTTAAAAGAAAAAATTAAGGTTGACTATGCGTTTTCGACTATAGTGTTAAAATTTTATTATTGATTTTGGCAAAGGAAATATTTTAAAATTTTGCTTTTTTAATTAGTAACAATCTCAACTAATGCTGTAATGCCATAATGATTTGTCATACGTACGTATAATCGGGGTCAATTTTTATGCTGCTGTAATAGAGTCAGGCATGTAATTGAATTCCGACATCACATAGGCTAGGGTTTGGGTTAGCATTTTATTAGCTACAGGTAGTTTTCGGAGTTGATAAAAATTTTTCTAATTGATTAGTTACCAAACTACTAATCGATTTTTCCTATCATGTGACTAAATTTGTTAATTGGCCAATCAAACTAAAGAAATCAACACGAACCAACCCAAATGGACAGAATATCTTGGAATTTAACTAGTTGATGATTTGATCGATTAGCTATTTCAAAATTTTCCAAATCGATTAGTTGGAAAGTTGTCAACTAGTTGGTTTTTCAACTAACGATTTGGATCACTAGCTGCAAGTATAGAACTCACAGTATCATGTCCAAAAAAATTCCGAGATTCGTGTAACCTGAGCTTCTGGTCTACCAAATGTTACGTAGCGAATTTTACTAATCAACCCGCTAACGCTAACTGATAAACTAAGTTGCACGGATTGTAATTTTGCTATAATATTAGTTAGGCTTGTATTCTTGCTTCGCAGGTCCGATCCAAGGTCCGAATCCGAATCATCTGATCGAAGTCCAGAGGCTCGGCTTACGCAGATCTCAAAATTTTTTGGGCATGACTAATCTGTTACACTTAATTTTGCTCAATCAAGGAACGATAATTATTTATACAACTTTTTTTTTTGTTCTATTAAAAATAAAATATAGAATATATCCTGATATTAGCTTGCTTGACTTGTGATTAATTATTGTATCGAAGAGAACTACGTTAAGATTATAAGTCGTTGGGATACGTCATACGTGTAATAGATGCGATCATATGACCGAAAGTTGTTACTTTATGCCTGCACCTAATCTGTCCAATCATAATTCTGGCCGAAACATAAAAATTCCGGCCATAGTGAAATTTATATAAATATCAGCTATTGTAACTTTGAAATCAAAATCTTTGATCTGGATAATATGAAAATACTAGAATACATTTCTCAAGCTCTTAGGCTGTGCTTTTATGGTACTGCATTGTTTAGGTTGGTAGTTGACCCAAATTTTATTATTTGTCGATATCTATAAAGAAAAAATTGCTACTTAAATTATTTAAATTATTTTATAGTTTTGCCATTAGTATAAATATTGTCCAATTATGTTCCATGCTACTGGTACCGTTCTCGAGAAGACTAGTATGGAGTATCAACACGCGTGGAGCTCAAAGTATGTGGTGGGTTATGCAGGCAAGTCGTGAATATTTCCTTACATTCACTTATGTCAATATTTGGTATTGTTCAATACTGATTTTAAAGTTTATTCCCGTATTAAAGTATATTTTTGAGGTAAGTCATGGATTTTTTTTCTACCAATAATGTTTGTTAGTTTGTTATTAATTGCCTACCAAAAGCGTCAACATAGGGGCCATATCACATTCTCAGGTGATAAAATTCCATCGGACGAAAGTGCTATAGTAATTAGCAATCATCAATCTTTTTCGGATTTTTACATGCTGCATTCAGTTGCAATACGTAGAAATATGTTACCACATGTCAAATATTTCGCAAAAGATTCCTTGAAATATGTGTGTATTTGTTTTCATTTGCGATTCATAGTGTCAATGTCAAAAAGTAATCTTATTTTTGGTTATTTAATAGATCCCTTTTTTTGGATTCGGCATGTGGGTAAGTAATATTCATACTTTTCGGATAATAAATAATCTTAATTAAAATTTTCATTATGTTTAAATATTTAACTTAGCTTATGGGAATGATCTTCATTAAACGAAACTGGACTCGGGTATGTTACTATTTTTTTTAACAAGTATATTTTTAATTCTCAATTGTATATTAATTTTAGTTTCCATATTGATAGGACGAAAGCCAACTTAAAAAAATATTCAAAACTATTAAAGCCTATGCAGCGCCTATTTGGATAGTTAATTTTGTTGAAGGAACAAGATTGACTTCAAGGAAGTTGTTAGAGGTTAGATACTTGTTTTTCAAATCATCAAAGTTTCAAATTTCATTCTTAATAAAATACTTTTATAGAGTCAAAGATTTGCAAAGGAACGTGGTTTACCAATCTTACGAAATCTATTAGTGCCCCGTACAAAAGGATTTGTAGCATGTGTTCGTCAATTACGGGATGCCCATGTGCAATATGTTTACGGTATTAGATATTATTTTTATATATTCTTAACTCTGACACAAGTTGAAGATAACTTAGAATCCTTATTATATTTAGACTTTACAATTGCATATCGTCATATTACCCAAGGATTTCAATTTCCACCAAATCTTTTACAAGTTCATTCATACTCACCTCTCTCACCGCCATGGTCATTCCATGTCCATGTAAGACGATACGCAATTAAAGATTTGCCCCAAGAAGATGAAAAGTTGAGCGAATGGGTTAGGCAAATTTTTGTGGAGAAAGATGCTTTGTTGGAAGATATGAAAACACGGTGGACGCAGAGCGATAGGTTGGATGGTGTTAAGGAAGAAAAATATTTTTAATTTTGGTAGTAAAATGAATTTTAATTTTAGAGATTGTACCCAAATTTATTTAATGTATCTAGAATATACCTTAATTCCTTTAATGCATTTCATAAATGCTCCTTGTATAAAGTCACAAGCAATGCGTGATCATGATCACATGATAAAATTTGTTACCATGAACTACTCTAGCAGAAATTATATGGTTAGTTAACGGTTAAGGTATATGGATTTTGGGAATAAACACAAACACAGTATACACGTGATCTAATCCTTAACTATAATGCTGGTCATTAGCTGCGACAAACTGTGTCGGTAGTTATTTTCTGTCCTTAAGCTCTGTCTGTAGAATTTGCGTTGGGAATTAGCATGGCCAGCACTACGGTTAAGGAGAATATCGCAGAATTTGCAGAAACTTTTGGATTTACTTGTTTTTGCAAAAATTAGTTTTTATTACGGATAATTACAGAATTGACCTAAAAATTTAACAAACAAATTGCATCATCATCCCTGAGCTAGTGCTACGTAGAATCTAGCAGAATTAGAAATTAGTTCACGTGTTTTTGCTGTGCGTCGCAAAACTCTCATTTTTGATACACTTATACGTACCTACTTTTTTTTGACACACCTAAATATATACTCAAAAACTAACTAATAATATTGCAGAAATTTTAGGGTATATTTAGATGTATCAAAAAAGTAAATGCAGAAGTATAGATGCGGTGAAATTGGTGAAATTTAATATAACAGCCAATCATTATTTAGTTTCACCAGCAGAAGTATCAAAAATGAAAGGTTTGCCTCAAAAAATTCTACTTTCATTTTGTCGAAAAATCACCCTTCGTGCGCTAATGAAAAATTTTTGGGAAATTTTTACTACATATCAAGACCCAATACAAAGCCACTAACCCGAACATAAACAAATGTTAAAGAATTTTTGTTATCACGTGACAGTAGAATTCTGAAGGTGACGTTACCATGTGATATATGATTAACTTTATCGCTATCGTCTATCGTTGCGATACATGTTAATTATCAAAAAAAATGAATTCCTCACCGGTCACTCTTGTGCGAAAAATAAATCCACACGTTGCCCTTGACCTTCAAACTGATAGAATTAGGTATTATCAATACTAGTTTTGCGTTAAGAGTCGGGTGAGCTATGA